ATGGGAAACACTGAAGGAGGCTAAAGAGATATCATGACTAAATGCAACGTGTCATCCTGGAATGGATTCTGGATTAGAAAGGAAAAAGGGACATTGTCGGGATGGCTGGCAAAATATGCATAGGGTCTTGATAATAGTGTTGTTATTGTTGTTTGGCAGATGTGAATGGTTATATTGTGGTTATACAGGACAGTAGCCTTGTTTACAGGGAAATACAAAGGAAGATTTAGAAATGACAGAATATCATGTCTCCAACTTTCTCTCAAATGATTCAGAAAAAAGATTGATCATAATGGAGGGAAGGAAATGAAGTAAATGTGAAATGTGAATAGTTGGAGCATCTGGGTGAGGAGACATAGTAGTTCTTTACTGTTTTTGCAACTTTTCCTTAAGTTTGAAATTGCTTCAAAATAAATTAAATTTTAAAGTACATGTGCACATATGTGAGCATGATTGCACTTTTAATATCTGCCAGATATTATACTACCGACAGCCAATTGTCATTAAACATGTAACTTCAGTAAATCGTTATATCAAAAAGATACCTGCACCCATATGTTTATTGTAGCACTGTTCACAGTAGCAAAAATATCATGGGCTGAGTATAGTGGCTCACACCTGTACTCTCAGCACTTTGGAAGGCCAAAGCGGGAGGATCGCTTGAGGCCAGGAGTTCAAGACCAGCCTGGGCAATACAGCAAGACCCTGCCTCTACAAAAAAAAAAAATTTTTTTTTTTTTTTAATTAGCCAGGCATGGTGGTGCTTGCCTGTAGACCCAGCTACTAAAGAGGCACAGGTAGGAGGATTGCTCGAGCCTAGGAGTTCAAAGCTGCAGTGATCATGCCACTGAACTCAGGTTGGGCAGAAGAGCAAGACCTCAACTCAAAAAAAAAAAAAAAAAAAAAGGAAAAAGATATAGAATCAACCTAAGTGTTCATCAACAGATGTCTGGCTTTTAAAAATGTGGTATATACACACACACATACACACACACACACACACACACACACACCATGGGATACTGCATGGTCTCACTTATAAGTGGGAACTAAATAATGTGTACACATGGATTTATAGACACTGTGGAATAACAGACACTGGAGACTTAGAAGGGTGCAAGCAGGTAAGGAAAGAGAAATTACTTAATAGGGATAATGTACACTATTCGGATGATGGCTACACCCAAAGCCCAGACTTCACCACTATGCAATATATCCATGTATCAAACTTGCACTTGTACCTCCTAAACTTATATGGGAAAAAAAAAAGCACCTTCTGCCTAAAGACTGCCTACCTCCTGACACACAGATAAAGACACTTTAAACTTGTAACACTGAAAATGAAAAATATTTATCTTTGTTTTTACATTTTTTTATGTTGTTTCAGATCTTAGTGTGTTCATGCTTTGGTACTTCAACTGGCAAATTCCATAGATATTTTTGTACCCTGTTTTGGCCCCTACAGATTAGCCAGTATGAACTGGCTAGGTAAGGGAGACAACTATCCTAAGGGGCTTGAAATCTTCTTTTGCCCTAAATGCAAACTGCTTCAAAGAGACAATGAACAGTACTTGAAAAATAAGCATCTAACTTTATGGTCAGGCTCTCAGCCCACTAGGTCTATTTAATTTCCATTCATCAGCACAGAAGAAAGCCACTGGCCGCTTCCCATCCCTTAAAGCTCTGGCTTAATTGTCATGCATTCCCAGAAGCACACTGTAAGAAGATGACTAATCACTGATTGCTTCTCCAGCACCATATGTCTCCCAATTTCAAAGGAAAAATTGTCCCAACCAGTACTAGAACAGATTTCCTACCTCCTGCAGCTGGAGTCGAACCTTGGTAACTGCTCGGATCCAATGTGCTCTGGCTTGGGTAAATGGTGAAGATACATTCTCCTCAGGAAAACTTGTAACAGAGAAAAAGTACACTTCTTAAAAACAGCCAAGGCCACAAGGTGACACTGCTCAAGGCAAGACTGCCAAATGTCTAAAATAAAATGGTTTGTACTCATGCCTACACTTATTTAGTGATTCAGGTTACTAAAACAGCATAGTACTGAATATCCAATGTGAAAACAATTCCTCTCTAAAACGATAACTCCTTTTGGCTTCTCATCTGTTCCCTCTTTTATTTATTTATTTACTTTTTTGAGACAGGGTCTCAAAAAAGGCCCCTGCCCAGGCTGAAGTGCAGTGGCATGATCATGGCCCTCTAAAATGACAATTCCTTTTAGCTTTTCATCTGTTTCCTTCTTTCCTACTCCTTTTTTTCATTTACCCAATTTGGTGGCTTCCTGGAACACTCTGGGATCAGGACTCTAGAGGCAACGGCAAGAGCCTTGAGTCAATAGTAGTGTAGAAACCATGCAGAGAGGGGTAGAATAAGCCCTTCAATCCCTTTCACTGCACTTCTTAAAACAATCAGTTCCCTTGGGGGTTTTGCATAGCATCCTTAGGGCAGAATTTTGTTCCTGCAAACCCTTCCTGCTCCAATAAGTATTTTAGAAGTCTTACCCATTCCTTTTTACATGAAAAGTGCCAAGGAAAAAAAAAAAAAAACAGCCCTTCTACTGCCATGATCTTGTTCCTTGAGCTGCTTCTAGAACACCCTCAGTAAAATGAACAATACACATAACAAAATACCTTTGAGACAGAAACACTACCCTGCATTAGAACAATTCATTATCCACACTAACTAGAATAGTGGTTAATCTTGGCAACAATGTTTCTCCTTTCTCTCTTTGAGGTCTACAGTCAATTCAGCAGACAAGTGTCCACCATCTAGACATGTAAAACATATGGTTGGTTCCGATGCCAACTAAGTGTGTCAACTGTTCTAAAACATTTGTGGGTACTTCTGGCCAAGGTAGAACTGGATTTCACTCTCACAGATAGGACCTGAGAGGACACAACCAGTAGAGGAGGACAAGGACTTGTGCTGGGCACTTCTGCTTCTCCATAAGGAGCTCTGCCCTGATAATAGTGACTGCCAAGTCTAAGGTCTATGGAGAGCCAGAGTCAGTTTTTCAGTGGGTCATCAACCCAATAAGAAGCCTGATCCGCAGCTCACCTCCTGGATGTCCCATCTATTAGATGAGCTACCAGAGATGACTAAAAGTCAAAAAAGGGAAGAAGAGAGAAAATAAGTTAATATCTTCAGAAAAGTTTGCGACTCATCTATTAATCCAGTAGTAAAGTAGAAGCATCAGCCACTCCCTAATTTTTACCATGTAATCCGCATTCAGTGCTCTGGTCTTTCAGTGAGAGGCTTTATTATTAGATCTTGAAATTTGAAAGTCTACGTCATACCCATCCCTTATCACTCTACCCCAGTGGGCAACTGTCCCTCCAGGGGAAATCTGTCAGGAGACAGTTTTAGTTGTCACAGCTGAGGGTTGCGAGGATTGCTTACTGGCATCTAGTGTGTAGAGGCTAGTGACGCTTTTAAACATCCTATAATATACACAACAAAGAATCACCTGGCCCAAAATGTCTCGAGTGCCGAGTCTGAGAACTCTGGCTCTGCTCCAACCTATTGGCTAGTCTAACCAATTTAGCTAGTAATAACATTCAGACTCCGTACTCGGCTTCATTATGAGATGTTAAAGAGGACACATTTTAAATTTTTCTTCCCATGGATATGAATTGGCAGACACATTGCTAGGCCCTGAGGAGGCCGAGGGGTGGGTTACATCTGACTTCTAGATCAATTCTTTCTTAACTCTGTCCTGGGTTTTTCAGCCAGGGAAAAGCAAAACAAAATGTTCACCAAAAAAAGTTACAACAGAAATCACTGTTATTTTCCAATGGGATTTTCCCTGAAGTTCCTCCTAATTACCTGGTATTTTCAGGCTGATTTCTCATCCTCTAGCCCATACCAGCAGAATAGGTACCAGGTCACTGTTCTGAGCAGTTCAACACACATACACATATACCTGTACATAAGTACACGCACACACTGACCCGGACCAACCCCTTTGAACAAGTTTGGGCCAGAGGCCAAAGTAGCATTCTTAATAGGTTAGGAAGTCAGCCAAAGTACGCACAACAGCCCCAGTGGATGAAATAACCTGGCTCAAGTCAGTTCCTGACTCAGAGGCTGCCATATACAAGGTCAACTAGTAAGCTATGAACTGCAAACTCAAGAAGTCCTGGTACACTGCATCTCACTAACGACAAAGAACCCAAATGCTGGCCAGGTGCAGTGGCACACACCTGTAATCCCAGCACTTTGGGAGTTTGAGGCAGGTGGATTGCTTGAGCTCAGGAGTTCAAGACCAGCCTGGGCAACATGGTGAAACCTTGTCTCTACAAAAAATACCATTAGCCAGGTGTGGTGGTGCACAGCTAGTAGTCCCAGGGACTCAGGAGGCTGAGGTGGGAGAATCGCTTGAGACCAGGCTGTCGAGGCTGCAGTGAGCCAAGATCGAGCCAGCCTGGGCAACAGAGTGAGACTCTATCTCAAAAACAAACAAAAACCCAAATGTTCAGAGATCTCCAAAATATCTTGGAAAGTACACCATAAATCAAAGGAAGCAATATAGAGTTGAGCTTAGGTGTGTTAACTACCACCATACCCAGCTGCAGGGAAACAAATGACAATCACTTATTTTCAACAATACCACAGGGCAGGTACTGAGGAAGCCATGTGAGCTCCTCAAGGGAGCTGTTGCCTACCTTTCCTGAGGACCTAGGAAGTGGTCTTTGTGCAGCATCAGATCTGGGGGAGGGTAGGTTGTGGCATCTTCTTTCGTCTCCTTGGGTTCACATGCTGCCTCCTTCTCTGCTTGAACTGTCACCTCCAAGGGTTTCTCTTGTTCTCTGAAACCTGCTTGGCCATCTCTGGACAGGCTGTTAGAGCTGTGGCAAGAATGAATTGAGTCCCTCTCCCGATGGTCGTCATCTTGTTCATGATACTGGTCTAGCTCACTTAGCTGAGAGCTTCCTTGACTCACATTACAGGAGGAGCCATACCTACTGCTGCTGGTGGGGCTGTGAGAATGACAGAAAGACAGAAAAGTAAATAAATGCAATCAAGGACCAGGACAAAAGCATGGAGACATCCAGGAAATAATGACTATATCAGTAGCAAGAATCAAATAGGAGGTTCCTGGGAAGAGAGGACCAAACTTCATAATCTAGAATAGTCTCTATTCAGCAAAAACACAACAGGAAAACAACACAACATGCTGGGTTCTCCAACGACACTTAACCTCAGCCCAGTACTTGACTTTGAAGGATATTTTATCTTAATAGGCTATTTGTGAGTAGGATTAAAAATTATTAAAATGGCCTGTTACTTGTTCCTAAAATTCTTTATTCAGTCTTCTGAAGAAGCTTGTCCAGTGGCTGTGATTAAATTTTTTTAAATTTCCACACAGTAAAATGGAATGAATGAACTCCACTCTTTTTCTATTACTTATTACACTGAGGTCATTATTTCTTCCTCTACAATTGTAAATGTGTATTCTTGTACCTTAGGATGAGCAAAGGAGAGTAGATATGTTCCTTCAATTATCATCTCAGTTTCCTCATCTGCAAGACGAGTTAATAGAACCCATTAGAAGATGGAGGCCAGGACCAAGAGATTCCACAAAGGAATGGACTCATCAACGTAAGTGCTACAATGATATCCCTGGCAGCATAGGAAGTGTCCCAAAGATGAACATCTGTAACTGAGCTTCTTTCAGGGCAAGGCTCAGTTTTGGAAAGAGTGGACAAAGTCCAACTCCAGGATCTGGGTCAGAGCTGTATTCATGCATCTCTGTATCTGAAGGCCAGCAAGCCAATCTTTTCTCAATCACCTGTATTCCCATGTCCAGAAAGTTATGAGAGAAAGCAGTTGTAGCAGAGAAAGTGACAGTGGCAAGAAAGGCAGAGTGGTGGAAAGAAGAGCAGTACCTAGAAGTTACTTCCTTGACTTTTATGGCCGTATCATCTAAGGGCTTCAGTTCTTTTGAAGAATTTTCTTACCACAGAGTCAAGCCTTTAAACTAAAGGGCTTGTGTTTACCCTTGGTCAAAGAAGAGAAATCACTGTTATTTTCCAATGGGATTTTCCCTAAAGTTCCTCCTAATTACCTGGTATTTTCAGGCTGATTTCTGATCCTCTAGCCCATGCCAGCAGAATAGGTACTAGGTCACTGCTCTGAGTAGTTCAACACACATACAAAAATACTTGTACATAAGTACACACACACACACACACACACACACACACACTGACCCTGACCAACCCCTTTGAACAAGTCTGGGCCAGAGGTCAAGGTAGCATTCTTAATCTGTGATGTATGGTACTGCTTCTTAGGGGAAATAATAGTACCCTCTGCAGATGGATCCAGCACACTGCTCGAGACTGAAGAACTACAGCAAAGGACACCTCTGAGTTCCTGTGAGATTTTACTCAAAGCATTTATCAGACATCAGCCTTGAGGGTAGTAAAAGGCAGAGATGATACCCTGGAAGAAGTTATGTAAATCTGTATGGAATAGGATATGGGAATACAGACTATCCCAAGGCATCCTTTGCACTTTGTATTTAACTTAAAACACTCATTGCCACTGGAGAAAGCATCTTAGAAGACTTGAAAAAACAAAGCAAAATAGGTCTATCCCCATCTCCTACAAGATATAAGTGCCTCAGGCCCAAGGAAGCATCCTAGCCTATCATGTAGTTGTAGTTAATATACTACCAACTACTTGCTACCTCTTCCTGCCCTCCTTTCTCCATTTCGCATTATACAAGGCAGAGCAAACCAGAGTGAGTAAATCTCCAGGCCCAGCCTTTGCTTTAAGCAGGAAGCTCCTTGTTCCAACAAATGAATTACAATTGGCATAGAGAGAAGAGGAGGATGAAAATACCCACACATTGAGTTCTTGTTATTTAACCCCTAATTAACATGAAGCTCGGGTACTAGGAAAGACACAGGAAGGATAAAAAGTAAGCTATGATTAATCTACCACTAAGTCACTTGCATCATAAATGGTCGATTCTTTAAAGCCATTTATGATGCTTGAGTTAAGAACAGGCCTTTTGTTGGTCATTGGCTCCATGATGTCATTCAGAGTGACTGGCTGCTGTACATTCAAATCAGAGTCAGTACTAGCAGGCACTGCCTCCTCTTCCTGTTTTTCTGGCTGGTGAAATATCTCAGAGACAGTGGAGGGTTCTTCCTCATGTTTCCCTGAAGGACAGGTGGGGCTACAGAGGTTGCCTTTGGTATCCCAGTGTTCTCCGGATGCTGAGATTTCCTGCTGGTTTCCCCCTTCTCCAGGTCCTGAAAGCCCCTGAGCACAGACCTCTGGCCTGGCCGCCAGCTGCTCAGAGGTCCCAGAGGGCTGAGTGTAGACTTTATCTGGCTGAGCACTGGCCCCAGATATCTGAGAAGACTCCAAAGCTTTGTTAGTCTCACTGGAGTAAAGGTCCTGATCACTACTAGTAACTAAAACCGGAGGGGAAGATTCTGTAGGCATTTGCTCAGGGCCCCATTTGTTCTCTTTTGGCCACGGAAATGAAAGATCCACCTTTCCAAACCCTAGTTTTGAATCACTTGCTGGTACACTTCCTTTCCCCTCACCATTTCCCTCAAAGAAAGTTGACAACTTCTTAAAACTGGACATTAAACCAGTCTCTGCTGCTCTATTGCCAGAGGGGAGAGATGAGGAAAAGAAAGAGCTCAGTGGTTTCCCGTGGTTAGTAGCACAGGATGGCAAACGAAGCTTTGGCCAACTGGTCACATTTGGGATCTCAAAACGTGGTCTTGAATGCTCTGTTTCCTGGGGGACTGCAGGTGGATCTTTCTTGGCATGAATTATCTCACAACTGTCTTTGGCAGGAAGCACAGAGTCCTCCAGCAGAGGATGAGAAAAGCGCCCTTCGGTTTCCAGTGCGGTGCTCTGGCTCACACTTGCATCACTGAACAGTGTAGTATCAGTTTCTAGTGAACTGGCTGGATGCAGCTCCAGTAAGTCTTGGTTTGTGGAGGCAGTTTGAATAGCTGGCTCTGGCTCAAGAGGAAGAGGTGGCTGAATTGGAGGAAGCTCTTCGGCAATGCAGGTAGGATCTGATTGCAACTGTGTTGGCAGCGCAATGTTCTCTGCTTCTAATGATGCCTCTGTGTCTGTAGCTTGCAATATCCCCATGTCTCCTTCATCACTCAGAGACAATACTCCTTGCCCAGTATCATCGCCTGAGAAAGAAGATGTATTAATTGTTTCAGAACGTTGAAGTTCCAGAATATTTTCAGGAGTATTATTGTCTTCCATTTTGGTTGTTAGCTTAGGATCATCTGTCAAGATATCTGATTCTGGCTTTGCACTAACCACAGTCATTCTACAGTCACTGAGAGTAGATTCTGAATTGGGTGCTGTAAAGGCAGCTTCTCTCCTTTCTGGAGGTGCTGATCCTACAGCATCTCTGGAACAACCATTCTGAAGCCATGTAGTAGCTGGGAGAGATGATTCTCGTTTGTATGACTCTGGCTTGGGACTTTTGAAAATTCCAAATAATTCATCTTTGAGGGGCTGAGATGATGCATCAGAAGCAAGAGAGAAAAAGGAGTTTTTCTTTGGAGATTTAGCAGAGGAGAAAAGTCCAGAGAGTGTTTTGGGAGGTTCAATTAAGCTCCCAGAGAAAGATTTCACTTTGGTCACAAACCCTGAAAGCATGTCTACTGAAGATCCCAATGCAGATTTGTCTTCCTCTTTATCTGCATCTTGGTTCTGAAGGTTCCCTGCACACCCTGGCTCCGGAGAGGAAGAGGCTGGCCCCAGGATCTGTGGTAAGACCTCATCGGGGGCCTTTTCTAATGGCAAGTTCACTGGTTCAGTAGTAAATTTCTCATTTTGGTGGTAGTTCGTACAACTCTCTAAGTCATTGAATTTTTCAGTTAACTGTTTAGCAAGTGAAAAAGAGTTGGACAGTGAGTCACTGGGGAAGGCTTTGTGGTTGAAAGCCTCTTCTTCATGGGGAACTATCCCAAGGTTCTCTGGGCCAATGAGGAATGTTTCAGCCTGTGCCTGAAATTCTGGTGAAGGAGGAACAATGTCTTTTTGCAACTCATTCATCTGGAAATCCACTGATGTTCGTGGTCCAGTATTGGAACTCAGTTTTTCCTCACAGTCCCTCTTCTCTACACTGAGCTTATCTGCAAGGGAGGTAACCTCAACTGTGTTGTTAATGGAAATACAAGGTGCCATTCGCTGTTCATGAACTACTTCTTGGGCTATGCTATCTCTATGACCACTGGAACTTTCTCTGGTCATTGTGCTACCACTGTCTACAAAAACATTTGACTTCTTACAGGGCTGGGAGGTCACTGGAACAACAGTTGAAATGCTTTGTTTTTCCCCAGAGGTCTCCTTATTTTGATCCAAAAAGGGCAAGCTGAAGAAACTAAAAGTAGAGCTACTATGAGAGGTATCCTTCTTAATGCTTGAGCTAGCAGTGGAAAAAAAGGAAGGAAGTGTGAATAGCCCTTCTGCTTGAGATTTGGCTCTTGGTAGACTAGCAGAGGCTCTGTTCTCAGATTTTTCAGATCCAGTCAGAAAAGAAAATATACTCTTTTTGGTTGGTAACTCTGGTTGAGGTGAAGATGTTGTAGCCATGGAGAAACTCCAGTCTTTGTCAGAAAAATGATATTGTTCATTTGAATTTCTCTTGCTCAGGGTATCCAAGGATATTTCATTACTTTTTGAAGCTTCTGTCACTGTAGTCACACCACTAGTTTCTACTGAAGAATCCCTGGAAGACTCTTTGAGACTACTTGTTGAAAAAGATGAATTAGGTGACTGCTGGATTAGGTGGTCTCTGAATGGTACCTCTTTTTCAGTCAAATCATTACCCTGGATCCCTCTAGTTGATGGTTCCTTTAACCTGCTGTCATCAATAGTAGTCTGTTTGTTCAGTCTTCTAACTCTAGCCTTCCCTTTAGAGGAAATTGGTGCAGCAGGAAAGTTCCCAGCACCCTGGCTAGCTAGCTCTATAGGAGTAGGACTTGACCTGACCTCATCCTTATTAGTCACTGAAGAAACAGACATATTTTCAGTTGTCTGTATAGGAGATACATTGGCTTTAAAGAAATCCCCAAGGGTACCCCAAAAATTTGAAACACCAGAAGATTCTTTCTTTTCCTGAGGTGATATCTTGACATTTGTATCACCAGTCTTTTCTAAGTTTGGTGATCCTTCTTTATTCACCTGAGTTTTAAAAAGGTTCAAAAATCCAGATGACTGTTTTTCATTTGCTGTCATACTAACTGAAGATTCTCTACTGAAGAGTTTCAATGCAGTTTTAAATAATGTTTCCTCAGACTCTCTGGACGACTGGTCCTGGGGAAGCTCACAATTCTCATGCTCATCCCTACTATGCTGAGGTGCAGGAGAAACTGAAATAGAGTCCATTGTAGTGATTTCGTCATCTTTTACACCTAATTTAGCCTGAGGAGTTGTTTGGCTTAACTGGAAACCAGATTTTAACAAACTTTGCTTTTTCACATGAATGTTTTTATTTAAAGAGAATTCTTGCCTTATATTTTTGGTCAATTCTGGATGCTGAACATTGGATACTATCTGTCTTTCTGAATCCTTGAGAAGACTTTTTTCCTCATTTGGGGAGTTACCCTCTAATTGCTTACTCATGATTAATGACTGAAAGCCATCATTTGTGAGCTCTGCTAAATCTGACTGCTGACTGACTTTCTGCATGGCCAAAGACTCTAAGGATTCACTCTTATCAAAATTCAAAGTACTTCCAACTGAGGCACCCAAAACAGAAAATACTGAAGTCACTTTGTTCACTAATGATGTCTCTTCCGCTTGTTGTGAGCCTTTAGTCATATTTTCAGGATGAACCAAAGAGGCAACTTCTTCAACAGAAGGCTGAAGCCAATGGAAACTGGAAAGCTGAACTGATGAATCTTTAGTTAGAGGTTGGTTTTTATCTCTCTCTATAATTTGATCTCTGTTTAAGACATGATTACTAATAGTTTGGGGCTGACTTCTGAGATCTAATGTACATTCAGGATCTTCAGAACCACATGGCCTTTCCTTGAAAGATCTAAAATCTCCTTTAAACTTTTGACGATTATAGCCTGAAAAATCTAGTGGCTGATAGCTTTGGTCATAACTTGACTCTTTAAATACTTGTGAAAAGGTTTCTAAATTTAGATACAAGGGTTCTTCACTTCTTGGCAAAGCTAAAGATAAATCAAGAGGGTCATCAATTGGTTCCTCTTCAACATACCACAATATTTCGTCTTCCTCATCAAGTACTTTAAAACTACAGGCAGAAATAATGCTGTTATCCAACATAATACTTGATAGACCATTTGTCTGTAAATCACAATCCAAATAATCTTGATAAGAATCAGGTATAAATAAATACGCATACTGCCCAGTAGAATCAGTGAGAAGAGAATAGATATATTGACCATCATGAAACATATAATATCCATAATCCCCATCCTCTGATGGCCACCACACTCCATGTTCAAGACATGACAACCATTCCTGGTACTCATAACCAAAACTTGAAAAAACAAAATTTTCATCCATCCTTAATGATTTTTGATCAACTATGGGGCATCTAGTCTTTTCATGATCTGATGAAGAACTTAAGTCAATCGGTAATTCTTCTAGTGAATTATTAGCCTCATTAATTGGAAGAGGACCAGAGTTTCCATATAATGAGTTAGCTGCCCACACATCACCTCTTAATAAGTAATCTTCATTAAATGCTAACTGATTGAATGATTCATATGGTAAGTCACACCAAATGACACTGTTTGGATTTGTTCTCCACTCCAAGATATTTGCATTTTGATCTTTTTGGCAAAAATTTATCACTGAGTTTTCTGAGTCAAGCCACAAGAAAGCATCTGCTGATGGAAATCTATTTTGATTTAACATATAATAAACTGGCTGAAGTTTTCTGGAATTTTTAGACAAATCTTTTATGTCAGAGTCCCATTCAAAACAGAAAGGACTGTTCATCTCTTCAAAAGCCTGATAATTGTTTGATTTATTGAGAATGTTAGTATTTAGTACAGGTGAATTTAACTTCTTTGAATTTTCATGTAGTTTTGCCTCAAGAACATGGTTTGGCATTTGCCTCTTAGCCATAGATTTATACAAAAAACCTAGCTGAGCACTTGGAGCACAGTGAAGTACAGTATTCTCAGAGGAGGGACGATGCTTTTCACTTTGCTGATTTTTCCCTGTAGGAGAACAATGATGATTATCAACCCCAGCATCAGATAATGGTATGTTTTCTTTAGGTAACAAGGAGGCTTCTACGAAGCCAGAAGTTTCATGTTTTTCAACATAGTTCTTCGGGTTCTCAGACGTCACACATGAAGTAGCAGGGACCTCATCCAAAGATAAATGCATATCTCCATTCAAACTCTTCGTGTTGCCTAAAGACACGAACTTTGCTTCCTCCAGTTTATGATCAGTCATACTGCTATTTGATAGCAGGTTAAATATTCCAGAGATTAAACCTGGGGTATCATTCTTGTGATGGGAGTCATCATTTTTCAAATTTAATTCTTGACTAGACAAATTTTCAGCAGAAGAAAACCTATTAAACAGGCCAGAAAGGAAGCTTCCTTGGGTTTTTTTCTTGGAAGTCTTATCTATAACCTTATCTTCATTAATTTCATTAACCAAAGTGGATTTCGAAGTGGCAGAAATACACTCTAATGAAGAGTCTGATGCTACTGAAGATGTTGCTTGTATTAGACTCTTACCTTCTCTTAAAGGATCTGAAGTTATATATTTTTTGGGCACAACTCCAGGGATGGCTAATCCATCTCTTTCAAAATTCTCTCCTGCTGTGTGGTCACTTGGATTTAATTCCTCTATACTCCCAAATTTCCCCGGATCATTATTAATATTTGTAACTGAATCAGACTGTATTATATTAAATTTGGCATCTTCAGGACTATTTCTTTGGTCATTCTGATTAAATTCCTCTGTACTGTCAAATTGCCCTAGATTATTATGAATATTTGGAACTGAACTAGATTTTATTGAACTAAGTTTGGCATCTTCAGGACAATTTACTTGGTCACTCTTATTAAATTCCTTTGTACTGTCAAACTTCTCTAGATCATCAGGAATATTTGGAACTGAACTAGATTTTATTGAATTAAGTTTGGCATCTTCAGGACAATTTATTTGGTCATTCTTTTTAAATTCCTCTGTGCTGTCAAATTTTCCTAGATCACTATGAATATTTGGAACATAACTAGATTTTACTGAACTATGTTTGGTATCTTCATGGCAATTTTTTTTGCTCTCCTCATCAGTGGTTACTGCTGAGCCATCATTAACAGTAACCTTGCTGTCAGTGAAAGAAAATTTAAACAAAGGAAAAATGCTTCCTTTCTCTTTTAACTCCTGTTGCTTTTCAGAATGACCAAGACCTCTAAAAAATGGAAGATTTAGTTTTCCACTAAAGGAAAAGGAACGACCATCTTTCTTAGAGCCCCTTTCCAATCCATCTTCCTCCACCTGGTGAATTTTCACAGATTCTGACAAACTTTCCTTTGAACAAGTCTCAGGGGAAGTGAGCAAAAACTGGCTAAATGATTTTCTGAGTGGCTCAAGGAAATCATCATTACCAGTAACTTTGTCTTCCTCTAATGGCTTTGAAGATACCTCTTTACTTGCAGTTCTACTGCCAGCTATACAAGGATGTCCTGGAGTATCTTTGGCACATATTTTTTGTTGATCTGGTAACACAGACACATCTATACAGGGTTTTCCCTCCAATAGACTCTCAATGTCATCATTTTTACTTGCAGAACTAGCTAAGTTTGAAGGTTCACTAGTTACTTGGGAGGACAACAAATTCTCACTTGTGGGCATCTGGAACCAGCCCGTAGTTTCTTCATCACTACTATTTAATGCAATGATGCTACTACTGTGATTGTCAAGAGTGCCTTCCCTTTTATTTAACTCCAAACCACACTCAACAAAGCTTTCTTTTCTCGGTGGCTTACTCTGGTCATCATCTTTTTTTGTTTCCTCCTTTTCTGAAAAGATCTTCAATGGATTTAACCTGCTGAAAACCGACTTTATAACCGAACTCTGACTCTGTAGAGACGAGTCCTTTGCAATACTTTCTGTTGCATTCTCAAAGTATAAGCTCCCAGTTTTATTGCCCATGTGCTCATTTTCAGAGGTTTTTCCATGTCTGCCTATATTCACATTATCATCTCTTTGAGAAGATAATGGAGATTGCATGGAAAGATCCTTTTCCAATACTGCCATGGCTCTGGGTTTAGATCCCAAATTAATCGCCTCTATTTTATTAAGAGTTTCTGCTTTTTCTGGAACTAAGGAAACCAACTTTTCCACAGAGTTTGTTAGATGCTTTGTACCTGAACCCACTTTTTCTGTGAGTGAACTAAACAAAGAACCAACAGCACATTTTACTCCAGTCAACTCAGGGAAAGAGATGGCCATGTCCTTGTCATTCTTGACAATAGTTACAGGTGGTATTTCATCCCCAGGCGTTCTCTGTTCTGCATCAACAGTACTATTTTGTTTATGTGATTTTTTAGTTTTTGAAAGTGAACCAAATCTATTAATCTCTTCTTCCTTCTCTGCTAAATATTCTGACACAGTTTCTACCAAACACTGAAGCTCATCCATTGTATCAATATGGTCCTCCTTGGGCTCCTCAATAGAGGAAGGGGTTATCTCTTCTGTAGAGCACCCAGACAGATCTCCAAGTGTTTTTGCATCACAATTCATCCTTTGTAATGGCAATGCTGAATTTGCTACATAATATTCTTCAGGAAAATCTCCAAGATGGTGGACAATGGATGAATGCCATGTTGGTGACTGTAAATTTTCCTGCTTATCAGAAATGGGGGAACCCAGAAGTTCATCAGAAGTACTACTAGTAGAATCTTCAAGAATATCTAATGAGGTAAAATTAGTGACATGCTGGTTTGAGCCAGATGACTTTTCACAGTGTCTTAAACAACTGCACAGATGATAATCATGACTTTCCAACTTAATGCGCTGCAGGCCACTCTTAACCACAAATCCATTTTTGTAGGGGTACAAAACTGGGTACCCCATAATTTGTTTCTTATTTTCAGTATGGCAAAGGGTACAATTTTCAGTATTAGAATATGTACTTTTGTAGTTAGTCTTAGTTTCAGATCTCTCATCATAATGTCTTCTTTCAGTGTCTTCAAAATAATTGTATAAGGGTTTCTTTTTTCTTCGTCTATCTAGTGTATCATATTTTTGAGGATACCTGGAGAAAACAGATGCTTCAACCTTAAATTCAGTAGAGAATTCTGTTTGTTGGCTCTGAGGTGGTGACTTTTTCCTGTTCTTATACTTTGGTTGTTTCTGTTGGCTGTAGTATTTATCCATTTTTGAAAGGGTTCTAATTTCTTTTACCTCTGCTTCCTTCAAGTTTATGTTATTATTTTCTAGACACTCTTGTGATATTTTCCCCTCTATCTCCTTATGTATATCTTCTTGCTCTTCATAGTCAACATCAGAGAAGGCTGAAATAATCCTAATTTTTTCATCTTTAGCCCGTGAGCCTTGTCTGATGTGAAGGGATAAAATTGGAGGAACAATAAAGCAAAGAAAAAGGAAGAGACAGGGAAAAGGAAGAAAGAAGTTATAAGATTTAATACATGTTCAATGAGAAGACTAGAATAATAAAATTGCCAATGTGACAAAAAGCATTCAGACTAAAAAAATATGAAAAAGAAATCCACATGTTCTTAAATATTATATCAATGTAGCCAAAATAGCTTATTCCATATCAGAAAAAGAACAGTTATAATATCAATTTTTAAATGCTTCAACTTGCAAATTTTCATTGGTGAGCTTTTTAGAATTCTTTTATTTTTCTAAGAAACAAACAAAAAAATTAAACATGTTGTACCAATATCTAGAATGTATTTGCAATATTAAAGTATACCATAAAAACATATCAAGGAATTTCAAGAAACCGAAATTTGCTGATAAATTTTTAGTCTAAAAAGAAGTCAAGCTGTTAACTTTCTGAAAGTTATATTTGAGGATGTACAGCCAAGAATATAGTCAAACATATTTCTTTTAATAAGAAAAAAATACATATAAAACATTTTTTTACTATCAGCAGAAGTCAAACTTTGTTATACTACAAAAAATAACAAATCATTTAAGGCATTATAATTTTTTTTTGAGACGGAGTTTCGCTCTTGTTGCCCAAGCTGAGTGCAATGGCACAATCTCAGCTCACTGCAACCTCCGCCTCCTGGGTTCAAGCAATTCTCCTGCCTCAGCCTCCTGAGTAGGTGGGATTACAGGTTCCCACCACCAGGCCCAGCTAATTTTTGTATTTTTAGCAGAGGTGGGTTTTCACCATGTTGGCCAGGCTGGTCTCGAACTCCTGACTTCAGGTGACCCACCCGCCTCAGCCTCCCAAACTACTGGGATTACAGGTGTGAGCCACCACGCCCAGCCTAAGGCATTACGATTTGCTGTTTGTGAAATCTAAAAGCTATATGCATTGAGGATCACAGTAAAAAGAAAATCTTTCCCTATACTGATTATAGCAGCAGAAGCTACATGTGAGACTTATGAATACTGAAGACAGTCTGACCTTTCTTTCAGTTAGGTTGCAGACTGCCTTCTTCTATGTACCAAGGTAGTGATGGAGAAAGAATCTACAGGCTAGGAGCTTATTAGGTCAGTGTGTTCTTTATAGATCTAACATCCAAAGCATTCATTTAGGAAACAGGAGCAAGATCAAAGAAGACACTTAGTCACTAAAAATCTTCCAGAAGGCCAGGTGCAATGGCTCACACCTGTAATCCAAGCACTTTGGGAGGCTGAGGCAGGAGGATCACTTGAGTGTAGGAATTCAAGACCAAACTGAGCAACAACGCAAGACCCTGTCTCTAAACTCACCATGTAGCAGTTTGGTGAGGTGGGCAAGAAAAGGAGATCATCCTATGGTCTGGTGAATTTTTTATTGATTGACTGACACAGAGTCTTGCTCTGTCATCCAGGCTGGAGTGCAGTGGTGCAATCTTGGCATACTATAGCTTCAACCTCCCAGACTCAAGCAATCTCTCCCAACTCAGCCTCCCAAGTAGCTAGGACTATAGGCATGCACCACCAAGTCCAGCTAATTTTGTTTACTTTTTGTAGAGATGTGGTTTCACTATATTTCTCAGGCTGGTCTCAAGCTCTTGGACTCAAGTGATCCTCCTGCCTTGCCTCCCAAAGTGCTGGGATTATAGGCATCAGCCACTGCACCTAGCCAGTCTAGTGAATTTTAGAAACTAAAAGGATAAGCTAAATTGGAATGATTTTTTGAAAACTAACCTCCAATCAATAAAATAACTGATTCAGGCAAGGATCAATGGATGCTAAGATCATTGATTAAAAGACTATTGGGGAAACAGAGTATTGATACAGTCTCAGGTATCACTTTACATATTATTAATTATGAAGGAGAAGAGGTAACTTTATACTGGAGAAATACAGCATATACCAAATTTCTTAACCATGAGATCAAACTAAACATCACCAATAATAAGACAAAGTATGTGCTTCCTGAATGCATGTGAAGGAAACATCCACCATTTTTGCCAAAAATGTTTAACCTGATTCTAAACATGAAGAAACAATCAGACAAAAACAAACTAAGGGGCATTCTCAAAACAACTGGCCTGCACTCTTCAAAAAAAAAAAAAAAAAAAAAAAAAAAAGTGTCTTAGGCTAGGCACGGCGGCTCACGCCTGTAATTCCATTTGGGAAGCAGAGGAAGGCAGATCGTTCGAGGCCAGGAGATGGAGAGCAGCTTGACCAACATGGTGAAACCCCATCTCTAACAAAAATACAAAAATTAGCCGGGCATGGTGGCATGCACCTGTAGTCTCAGCTACTCGGGAGGCTGAGGCAAGAGAATCACTTGAACAGGGAATGCTGAGGTTGCAGTGAGCCAAGATCACCCCATTGCACTCCAGCCTGGGAGACAGAGTGTGACTCTGTCTCAAAAAGAAAAAGAAAAAGAAAAAGAAAAAGAAAAAAGCTTCTTAAAAGACCAAAAAAACAAAAAGTAATGAAATTTTTGCTAAATTAAAGGAGGCTAAGGAAACATGAAAACCAAATGCAATGCACCACAGTTCTGGATTGGATCCTGGACCAGAAAGGAACAAATATACATACAGAACATTATGGAGATAACTGGGGAAATTTAAATATGGTCTAAACATTAGATAATAACATTGCATCATTAAACTTCTTGAATGTGATCATGATATTGAGGTTATATAAGAGAAAGTTCTTTTTCTTAGGAGTAACATGCTGAAATACTTTCTGATGAAGTAATACAATATCTGCAACTTATTTTTAAGTGGTTCAGAGAAAATGTATGTGTATATGAATACATATTAGGGAGAATGAGATAAAGTAAATGTGGTAAAATGTTAACACAACTGGTAAATCTAGGCAACATGAATATGGGTGTTCACTGAATTACTGCTCTAAATTTTCTTTAAGTCTGAAATTTTTTTTTAATCGGGGCAGGGGAGAGCACATATGTATGTATTTGCTTTTATACTCATAAATATATGACAATAGTCTAAGGAAGGATACATAAGAAACAACAGTAGGAAGGGAATTATGAAACAGGAAGAAGATGGGGTACAGGAAGGTAAGTGTGGGTGGGAAACTCTTTATGCTGTATTGTACCTTAACATTTTTTAAACCACACAATTGTTTTATATATTTTAGAAATAAAATTAAATTAAAATAAAGTTCCAGTAAAAATACTTTTTTTTTTTTGAGACGGAATCTTGCTCCGTCGCCCAGGCTGGAGTGCAGTGGCCGGATCTCAGCTCACCGCAATCTCCGCCTCCCAGGTTTACGCCATTCTCCTGCCTCAGCCTCCCAAGTAGCTGGGACTACAGACGCCCGCCACCTCGCCCAGCTAGTTTTTTGTATATTTTAGTAGAGACGGGGTTTCATCATGTTAGCCAGGATGGTCTCGATCTCCTGACCTCATGATCCGCCTGTCTTGGCCTCCCAAAGTGCTGGGATTACAGGCTTGAGCCACCGCGCCTGGCCTCCAGTAAAAATACTTAATCTGCTATAAGAAATCATATTGGTTTTCTTCTAAAGTTCCCAGGGAAATATTTAGGCAAGAAGGACTATCCAATCTGTGATTTTTCTGTTTTTAATCTTGGCGAAGGGTATAGCAAACTCACTGAGTCAGGAAGTGGGGCAGATACACCCCAAGTGGGCCTGCCCTGATCAGTTGAGAATCACTGATCATAAAAATAAGTATTCCTTATGGCAATGTATAAACATTCCTTATGGCAATGTATAAACATGTGGAAGAGAAAAAAAAACTAATAATCTACACAAAATGACTGTAGTTTGGCCTGTGATACTGCTACCCTTCCGCTACCTCTTAAGGTTAAAGCATCCAAATTCTTGTTTCCAATTGCATCATGAGACCTGGATATTACGAAGAGAAAGTACTTTGTGCCCAATACCCACCTGATGGCCCGCCGCTCAGGATAATCGAAGTCATAACTTTGCATAGAATCATTACAAGAGTCCCGGGAACTGCCTTGAAGTAGCAGCTGCTGCGGTAATCCCACCGGCACAGGGAACTGGTGCACAGAAGCGTTGGGCTGGGAAGTTGTATGGTAAGGAGGTGGGATGCTGTTGCTGGTCTCACTGCGATAGTCACTATCTCGGTCATCGACGGCACTATCAGGGTCTTCAAAAGCTATGGAATAAGCACATTCAATGAAAGCACCCCAGCTTTATTTAGTTCTTCAGAATTATTTCTGCTTCTAACTTAGTAGTAACAAGTCTGGACCTTGAGAACAAAAGCAAGCTAAGCTTCACGTGACCCCAGTGACCTCAGAGCCATGAGCAGAACGGTCTCAATTGATACCCACAAGTCTCTCTTCTTTATCACAGGAGAAAGTATACTTAGTTTAATTTTAGTGCTTATTCTTAGAGGAGTTCCAGGTTGCATTTTCCCACTGCAGAATTCTTTGGAATTCTGCTTCTCCAACTATCATAACCATAATTAAAAACCGCTTTTAAATGTCACAAATACAGTCTGGTCCTCTGTTATTAAAGAAAGGGGAAGGGAGCAGAGGTTTAAAAAATTAGCTTTTCAGCCAGGCGTGGCGGCTCCCACCTGTAATCCTAGCACTTTGGGAGGCTGAGGCAGGTGGATCACTTGAGGTCAGGAGTTCAAAACGAGCCTGGCCAACATGATGAAACCTTGTCTCTACCAAAAATACAAAAAATTATCTGGGCGTGGTGGTGTTCACCTGTAATCCCAGCTACTCGGGAGGCTGAGGCAGGAGAATTGCTTGAACCCAGGAGTCGGAGGTTGCAGTGAGCCAAGATCGCGCCACTGCACTCCAGCCTGGGTGACAGAGCAAGACTCCGTCTCCAAAAAAAAAATTAGCTTTTCATATCTTGGGAAAATAAACGACAAAACTTTTGTTTAATGTCTTGGTGTTTTCAGACTTTTAAACATACAGACTGTACCAAATAAGGTCCAACATCAGAAGCTGGTCCTGGAAATCAGGAGGGTCAAAGCCAAGGCTTGGAAATCAAGTCAAAGGCTCTAGATGCAGCTGAGAACAGTAGCACTCTTATGGTGCTGCTGCAGTGTTGGGTTTTTCTAACAATTCCTGTCAAGCACCTACACCCTAGGCTCAGAATTCCCATCCAGAGGATGGGCTGAGAAAAGAAAAAACATATGTGCTGCCCATGGGATCTTGCTGACAATGCAGCCAAGTTTATCTAGTAGCAGTGACTACAATTTCATAGAATTATTTCTGCCTTTCAGACCAGCACCTGACTGGCTACAGTTTTTTTCTTAAAATTAGCTAAAAAGACCACACTTACAACTCACCGCTGTGCTTGGAAAGGGAGCTCAACCTAAGAGTGCTTTGCAGCCTATTTTACAAAGAGGAAGTCGTATCTGACACCATACCCTTACGTGTATGATTAACAGGGTTCCACATGTCCTTTCTTGACAAGTTCCTATTTGGTTCACAATGAGGAAAAGGAATGTTCACCATCTCAAAATGGAGATACTTTTAGCAGAAAATGAACTCATGTTATTAATTTTAAAAGATGATCTTGGCCAGGCGCAGTGGCTCACGCCTGTAATCCCAGCACTTTGGGAGGCCGAGCGGGTGGATCATCTGAGGTCAGGAGTTCGAGACCAGCCTGGCCAACATGATGGAACCCCATCTCTGCAAAAATACAAAAATTAGCCAGGCATGATGGCAGGTGCCTGTAATCCTAGCTACTCAGGAGGCTGAGGCGGAAGAATCACTTGAACCCAGGAGGTGGAGGTTGCAATGAGCCAAGATTGTGCCGCACTCCAGCCTGGGTGACAGAGCAAGGCTCTGTCTCACAAAAAAAAAAAAAAAAAAAAAGATAATCTTGTAGCAATGTGGGCAGTGGAAGCCTCCTGAAGACCGTAAGGTTAGGCTTTTACAATTGCTCAGGCAGGAAATAAGGACTTGCATCTATACAGTGGAAACAGAAAAGAGTTAAAACTAGAAACAGAAAATTCCAGACAGAATTGTAAAACATAGGGCCATATGGAAGATAATAGGGAAATGACCCCTTGGCTTCTGTTAGACAACCCGGTAGGATAAGAGTTCCAGTAAAAGAGACAGAGCACAAACATGTGGGTTTTATAGATAAGGAAGAAAATCTGAGCATTGGACTCTCGATAATATTTCTGGGTACAGATGGGAGATGGGGTAAGATGATCTTATGAGCTTTTCCTATTTCAGTTTATGGTTACATGTGAACATAAAAAAAGGAGAGGAGAGGGATTAGAACCCCAGGAGGAAAAATATCAACATGAGAAAGAAGCTAATGTTCAAATGGTCAGGAACAATTATTAGTAATACTTGACATTTGGAGCAAGTAGTCCACTGACCAGGGCAGGAGTAGTAAAGCTTGAAAACAAAAGCAAACAACAGGGATGCAAAGCATTCTGCTTACAAAGCATTCTGATGACATACGAGGAAAAAGAGACTTTGGAAGCACTGGTTTTAGCCCTTGATGCATCTGTTGTTCTGAAGACAAGAAAAATAGGACCCAGAGACAAAACCATATGCCACTCAGACTTAATTCTTTCTGAACCCACAGAAAGAGCAAGTCTGTAGAAGTCAGTGCTGGACTATTCATGCATACAGATGAGGGGGCAGAGGCAACAAAGGAGACAAAACCAGAGTTCTACTAAACTCTGGCAGGAAAAGTATTAGCACACAACCCAGAGAACCAAGATTCAGTCTCCAAGGAGGCAACCGCGACAGACAATCCTATTGCTTTTGAGGCCGGAGAGTGCAGCTCAGCCAGAGTTAGAAGCCCACGACCCAAATCCATAGGTTTTACTTTCTCCCTGCATGTGACCCATTACTCCTAAATAATGCTCTGCTTTTTGTTTATTTTGCTAGGCTAAACAGAGGAATACTCTACAACTTAACTAAAGGCTAACAACATTTCTACACTAAAGAAATAAAGGGCAAATATTAAGAAACAAAGCATCCATGGAAAGAAGAGGTTGGGAGTATAAGGTATTATGAAAAGCAGGAGAGGGCAGGAGAGAGAAAATACTAAGGAATAAAGTGAGACAAAGGAGAGAAACAGAAAAAAGCAGTGACAGGCAATCACCTCCAGTTTTCCTAAAAAGTAAAACCTCCTGGCACCAAGCCTGATTAGAAACTAAAAATGGAAATTCAGGAAAATGTGTAACACTTCAATTTGAATTAAATAACTGTGTTTTTAATGTGTCACTGACAATCTCTTACTGACTCCACAATTTACCCCACAGCACCATGTCGACTAGACAAGAAAAGCCCTGGCTTTACAGAGAGAAACTGAGTGCAGGTTTGGTTGGCTTAGCCTAAGAAGGAACTAGAAAGCCAGTTTGAGGGTAAAAGTTGAAAAGCCCCTGGTAAAGTCTATTTGAAAGATGGAAAATTAAAAGGCTGGGAACACCTGTTCACTCAACTATTCACTAAGTGCCCACACATGCAAGACTAAACAACACAGAAGACTCAGAATATAGAGTCAGTCTAGTAGGAGACAGACTATATAGATACAAATATTGAATTGCTATACAAGGCATTTAGTACCATGAAAATAGCACAAACCAAGTGCTATGAGTTAAAAGTAAAATCACTTCCTGATAGGGTAAGTAAGGAAGCTTTACGGAGGAGATGGCTTTGAAGAACTGGTTCGTTTTTAATAGGTGAAGATTAGAGGCAGAGGGGAAATATCTTCTAGAATTTGGATGAAAGCAGTGGCATGATTAAAGGCCCAGTGGTGGGAAAGGCTATACATTTTTGAGAAACTGTTTTGTAGTTCATTTGATAGGTAAATAAAAGGACACACAGGAAATGATGGAAAATTAAAACCTGCAAAAGTAGGCTGGGAAGGTCATCTAACCTGGGGCAAACAAAGATGGGCCTCTGAGCACACAGCAGGCACTCAAACAAAATCCAGTGAAATACAGAACAATGAGGCCCTCTAGTATGTGGTATTCCTGGATTGAGTCCTGGATTGGTCTTTCAATCCACAGCACACCTATTAATAGAACTTCAGCAACCAAAGAAAGGAAAGAAAATTCATTCACATTTTTTTCATGGCTTAGTTGCTTTTTCTACTTGAAAACCTTAACTGAGCTCTGTTAACCCATTTATGCCTGAGGTCACCTACTCTTGGGGATGACCTTGAGCAGTAGGATATAAATAACTCTCACATGCTTAGCATTCCACTAATGGAACACCAGGCACAAATGGATCAAGCTGCTTTTGAGTAGTTTCCTAATAGCAGAAATACTCAGGATTCAAATCACAGAAAGCACAGACCTCATGAGAAATTCCACTGACAGGACAAACTTTGGCCCCTCTTAATACCTACTGGATATCTAATCACTGAGACTCAACCAGATCCCGTGAGATGGGTAACACAACCAGTAATGTCAGCCTAGGGCTACATGTTTTGCCACAAAGAACTGGCTGCCCACTCTCTAAGCTCTACAACAAAGGTGGCCTAGCTGGGCTGCTTCAAGGAAAGCCAAGCCATGTCCTCAGCCTCTTGTTTCCTTAACAAAAGCAGGTTTTTGGCTGAAATGGCATTCACAATTTGCTAGACCAATAAACCCGAGACAGCAGTCTGTTCTGCATATCCTCCTAGTCAAGAAAACCAGCCAAATCAGAATGCATACCAATTACCCTGACTCTAGTTCATCCTAGAATGAGCCTTCTCCTTCTGTCCACTGCACTCCTTAAGCAAAGGAGAAGGCTACACTAGTGGGCTGATGCTACTACTTGCCTCTGGGGAATAAAAATTAGGAGATCTTGTCAGGATTATGACTGGGACTTTGGTTTGAAATTTGTAACACACATAAACACACACAAAGTTGTCTTGACAACCAGCCTGAAAGGATATAACTTTCCACCACAGGTAACTGTCTCCTAAGATTTAAGTAGGAGAGGAGAGGGAAATGGAAGTCAATGCATGAATATCCAGCTTCACAGTTCAGAGGGAGTATGTACTTTGTGGGTAAGATCAAGAAAATGATAAGGAATTTCAATTCTTACGTACTCTGTTGCTCTCCCCAGCCCAAATAGGTCCAGTGACCTAAGAAAACCACAAAGAAGCAGCAGATAATTTTTGAAAATACTTTTTGAAGGAATTCAAAAGTCATTTCCCCATCCCAGCAATTATTAT